AGGGGCAGGACTGCCTCATGTATGAACAACTGTGTGTCCTGCAGGAGGCAGGTTCAAATGCAGCACGGGCAGGTCAGACACTTCCATTTGCCTCATGCAAGTGTCTCAGAGGAGCCACGTGCACTGGGGAGACATTGCCTGGTCCATCCATGTGGGTTATGGCTGTTATCACCTCCCCAAAGCTGGATGCTGCACAGCTACATCTCATGCCTGCATCCTTCTGCACCAGCTACAGCACACAGGGACAGCCAGTCTCCCATACAATCCCTTTGCCAACATGCCCCCCACACTCATCCCTTTACACTACACCAACCAGCAAGGTGAAGGAGCACATAAAAGCCACCTTTGGCTCAGAAGTGAACAGCCTAGAAGATGGAAGAGGTGACCAGAGAGCCCTGCAATGGCTATGCACAAGCCAAAGGCACCTGAGACACCTTGGACCACCTCGATACCTTTACACCTGGCTCAATAGCAGTGAGACATCCCAGTCCCACCAGCCAGGCTCCAGAGCATCCACTGCTCATCATCCCTGCAGCATTTCTCCCTTTCCTCCTCCTTGGAACTGGAAGCATCCTGGCTATAGCTGTAGGTTTTCAGATGGGGACCAGCCTCAGCAAAGGGCAAGAGGCAGAAAGTCACCATATCTGCCAGGGAAGAAGAGGGAGGGACAGGGATAGCCCCAGTATAACACCCTCAGACACAACTATTCCTCTATTACAGTAGGAAAACACAATCCTTGAGCTCACCCATACCCCCAGGCCAGTTTCCTAAACCAGTGCTCTCTGCATGAAGGCCGTGGCAGGATGCTGGGGTTATCCTCTTGCTTCGGAAGCACACACACACATTGTGGCCCATTTTACTTGGGAAGAGATACCACCAGGTTCATTTCCTTCGCCTCCATTTCTGCCTCTTCCAGGCACCAGCCTGCAGCATCCAAACCCAGTGCTGCTTTAGGAAGTGGCTGGTCGCTGTCAGTCTCTCCCACCTCACTGAGCTACAGACCTCACAGGAGCCCCCAGCTCCTGCTGTTTCCAAGCTGATTCCCCACCTGGCTCCATTCTCCCTAATCCTGTTTGGCAGGGAGCTAATTGGGATTTATCTGTTAGCACCCAATGCCTGGAGAGCCATTTTGTGCTTCCTCCAGGGAGGGTGAAGAGGAGGAGGGAGAATGCCTGCAGAAGGCATTTGCACATCCTTCCCTTCCCCATCCCCATCCCCATCCCCATCCCCTCCTGCAGCTCCATAGGCTCATTACCAACATTGCAGAGGAGGGGGAGAAAAGGGGGGCTTTAATTATTTCATTTAACACTTGGCAGGACCCAGCTTGACTCCTGCTGAGCAGCGCTTGGGAATGAAGAGCTTTGATTCCCTATCAACGGGAGATGGGGATGCGGGTGTGCGGGGAGTGGAAAAGGGGTTCCATCCACACCATTCCCAATAAACAGCTATGCCAGGCAGTGCTGGACAAGGGGTGCCTCTTCGTTTCCCTCTTAGTGACTTTGTCCTGAAACAAACCCTTCTTACCATGCGGTTTGGGACCATGCAGCTGTTTGCCAGATGTGCTGTAGGATGGAGTAGTCCACGCGCATGTGCCACAGGGGATACAGGTCACCCTCTCTCATGCATCACTGTCTGCACATCACAGCCCGTGCTGCACTGGAAGTGCCAGACAGCCCCAGATGTTCCTCACACACGCAGCACAAAGCCCATACCAGTTCCACCCAATAGTGAGTGGGTCCCTGATGCCTCTGCCTCCCTGATTTAAACAGGAGAAGATAAAAGGTGTGCACAGGGAACTTGGTGTCCACATCTAAAGAGCTCCCCAGATACAGCACAGATCAAAAGCAGGCACAGAGCAAAGCGAAAGCAACCCAAGGGAGAGGGATGATGCATCCCAGTGCTAGGACACACAGCTCCAGACAAGCACTCTTTGTGCAGCCCTGTCATCCTTTGCCTTCACAAGGATGCCCAGGAGAACCGCACTGCCCGCTGCAGAACCTGTGTTCAGGAATCATGGGATCAGGTGGGTTGGGAAAGAGCTTTGAGATCCTCAAATCCAACCATTCCCCAGCACTGCCAAGGCCACCATTGACCCATGGCACTGAGGGCCTGTCCCGCTGCCTTCTCCCAGTGTTCCAAGGGTATCCCGAACGGGATGCACGCACTTTACATCCCGAACCCTGCGGCAGCCCTGGCTCCTCTCTGGCAGGCTCACACTGCCCTCTGCTGCTCCCAACAGCACGGATCGTGCTGCAGCAGGCTCCAGCCGAGGGCAGGCTGCCCACAGCATCCCCATGGATGGCGGGATGATGGTGCAGCAACAGGAGGGTGATGAGGATGGGGAGCTGCTCCTTGCTGGGGGACCACAGACCTGTCAAACACTTCACAGGCCAGTCTGCCCTGAACTGTGGCTGCCCCATCCCTGGCAGTGCTCAAGGCCAGGTTGGATACAGGGGCCTGGAGCAAGCTGCTCCAGTGGAAGGGGTCCCTGTTCATGGCAATGGGTTGGAAATGGATGAGCTTTAAGGTCACTTCAACCCAACCCATTCCATGATTCTATGACAATTCCTACCCAACAGCCCTCAAGGAGCTGAGTCGCAGCAGTGGGGGATGCAGGAGTGGCCAGCACATATCCCAAGCAGAGGTGCTGCATCCCAACAGGAGAGCATCATCTACCGTAGGAGCTGCACAAAGTGCTGCAGGCAGAGGGAATACTGGCAGCAGTATTAAGGAAGGACAGGCCACCTTGAGCCAGAGCTGCTCTGGGGTACAGAAGCTGAACCCCATGCACAGGGCAGCCCCATAGCCCTCTGCCATCTCATCACAGCCAGGGCCCTGCACAAGAGCAACGGGTTTGCCCCTGGACAGCCCCTAATCATAGAATCACAGAATGGTTTGGGTTGGAAAGGGCCTTAAGATCACCCAGTCCCGACCCCCTGCCATGGGCAGGGATGTGCGCCCTCGAGTGATGCAGCTCCCAGTAGGGGAGGACACACAGAGCCTATTGCCCATCACCCAGTCCCACAGCAGTGGGGCTCAAACCCAGGCTGCATCCATAGGGAGAGCAAACCCCCCTCAGCGAGGTGAAGGGGGCTGGAGCACATCACTAGGAAGGAAGCACACAGCAACGATGTGCTTGGACATGGCCATAGGAAAGGATGCAGCCGCTCCAATTGGATTGGGAAGGCAGGGAGAGCCACAAGAGCCTATGAGAAGGAGCAGAAGGGCAGGAACATCCTCTGTAACCAACTGTGGTCCTGCTTGGAGGTTCCTCATAGGCACAGCAGTGGGGCTTGCATGTTGGATAGCAAAGGGAACCAGCCAGCACGCTGCCAACCACACACAGCTCAGGGTAAACCACTTTGTGCCCCCAGGAGCAGAGCAGGACGATGCCCTCCTGCTTGGAAACGCAAGGGACTCAGTTTATGCATCTCAGGGCTGATGCACAGGGATATTCAGCCAGCAGAGGATGCTGTCGGCTTGGACAGCTTCTCTCCATCCTCCTTTTGCGCTCGGAGAGGTCCATAAACTTGTACGTCCCTCTGTTCCCTCTCCAACAAGGGCACGTTTCCAAGCAGACCCTCAGCCTACCCCTCCCGTTCTGCACAGCACAGTCTCTATATTGTACATAAGGCACAGACCAGGCAGGAAACAGAGCAGCAATAGCTTTAAACAGCTCAGCAGCCACAGCTGGCCCAGTGCTGGTGGACATGCCCAGACCAAGGCCAGCTAAGCTCCATCCCACCCCATGTCACACCAAAGAGCCAGCTGCTTATCCATCTCTGTATATGTGTATTTATATAGTGTGCCCTGGTGCTGGAGGCAACACCTTACATATAAGGGGCACAAGAGGGACCTGGAGCTGCTGGAGCGAGGCCAGAGGAGGCCATGGGGATGCTGCGAGGGCTGGAGCAGCTCTGCTCTGGAGCCAGGCTGAGAGAGCTGGGCTGGGGCAGCCTGGAGAAGAGAAGGCTCCTGAAGGGGAGACCTGAGAGCAGCTCCAGTGCCTAAAGGGGCTGCAGGAAACCTGGAGAGGGGCTTGGGACAAGGGATGTAGGGACAGGCCAAGGGGAATGGCTTGAACCTGCCCGAGGGGAGACTGAGCTGAGCTCTTAGGCAGAAGCTCTCCCTACAAACGCCCTCCCTACACACACCCCTTATCTGCAGCCTCCAAACGAAGGGGCTGGCCACAAGGCTCCTGGGATGCCGGGATTCCCAGCACTGGGAATCACAGGGAAGTGGGCACCGAGCCAGGCTGCAGCCATGTACATCACACACGCTGCCCTCATCAGGCACAGCACACACACGGCTTGCTTTAATGACTGGGATTCAGTGTTTAATACAATCCCAGACTGGTTTGGGTTGAAGGGACCTTAAATCTCACCCAGTTCCAACCCCCTGCTATGGGCAGGGACACCTTCCACTAGAGCAGCTTGCTCCAGCCTGGTTCTGCCCTCCTTTATGAACTACATCAGGTACCATACATGCCACAGACCCCCAGGCCAGGTTTAACCCATCACTTTTAGGTCCATTATGAGCTGGAAAGATGCTATATGCCCCCCCTCCCTCCCCAGGACACTAGTGAAGGTGAGAGGCTAAGGATGGAGTTGGAGATGAGACACGCACTAGGTGAGAGGCATCCTTAGATCACAGTTTCATGGCCACAGCACTCCAGAGCCTTGGTGCTGCAGCACCAGCGCTCGCTTTGTGCAAGGTCAGGAGCAATCCAATGGAGCCCAGGTACCAAAGTCAGGCTGGGCAAGGTGGGGGCAGAGGGGAAAGCAGCTCTTCAAACTGTGATCTAAGAGCAATAGCTCCCTTGGAGGTGAGGGCACGCTCTGCAGCCAAGAGGCCACGGGGATGGACGTGCCTGTAGCCACCTCCAGAAGGTTTCTATTGCGCCAGCACATCCTAGATGGAAGAATGACAGGGACTACCCAACGAACCTGATGGTGGATGGAAATAAATGGTATTTCTTTGCATGACACACCACCACTTACCAGCAAGAAGCTTCCTATGTTCTTTAGAAAGCAGGGGAGGAGAAAAAGGAGAGAACAAAACAGTTAGAAACAAGGAAACAGGCAGCTAACCCAAACCTTTCCTACCCTCCCAAGCCCCCCTCTCCAATGCTCTGCAATCAGCCCCACATGGGGCAGCTTCCATTCATCTCTTCCAGCCCTTTCCATTGGGCACCAGCTCCCACATCACCCCAGGAGGCGATGGTTGGGTTGCCCATATTCCTTATCCTTGGTCCAGCAATCCTACATCTCACACTGAGGAGGCAGGAGGAGAGCAGCTCATGGGTAGCACCAAGCTGTGCCTCTGGACACCCACATGTGGTCCAGGGCTGGACAAAGGGGACAGCACAACTGGCACCTTCAACATCTATTGGTACCCCCAGCATTTCAGGAGCATCACTTGTCCCCTTTGGGTTTGTTTCCATGCCCATTGATTTAAACATGTTTTCATGACACAACAGGCTCCCGAATCTACAGATAAGCAGAAAACAGCGGGATCCTGATGCAGTGCAACAGCTTAAACCCTGAACAGCAGCACAAGGGATAAACAGAGAGCCCCAGGAGCAGATATACGTGCAAATAACAACACCAACCCCATCCAGAACATCCCAGCAGTGGCTGCTATCAGCCACACAACACAAGCACGCTGGAGCAGATAGCGCAGTGATTTGATCCATGGAGAAGCATGCACTCTTCCCTTACAAGGAGAGATAAAGGAAGTCCTGGAGAGCATAATGAATGCAGCCAAAGGCTCAGAAGCCAACGTGTATTAACTGCTAAACTTTGCCTTGTCAATGGGTGAAAGCAAACTCACTATGTGTAATAGCCTGGAGTTACCCATATCCACGCCAACTTCCCAATACAAGCTCCAACGGGTCATATGTTTCCCATTCAACCCAAAGGGACCCATCCTTTGTCATCGCAGCTTGATACCTCCTACCCAAATGCATCACCTGGGCCGGAGCTACTTTTGAAGCTTAGGAAACCAGAGCAGAAGATGAAAGAACCCAACACCCATGCTGAAAGAGGAGGTTCACAGTTAAACAGCTGAGCATTTTAATAGCTTATCTCCAAGTCATCTATGGCAGCATGGAAGTCCTGTAACCATTAGAGCATTCATTCGAGATGCCTATGGAAATAGGAGCTCAGGTCCTTGTCCCACATCCTGAGGACAAGGGTATCTCGCAGGGTGAAATGCAACTCAACCTATTCTGTTCCACCCAGTCTGCTTTGCCTCCTCACAGAGCCACACAATTGCTACTACACAGTTGAGAGCAGGATGGAGGTTGGAGTACGTGGTGATGCTCATGTGCTTTCCTCATGCTGGGCTCGGGACATGGAGCCCCAAGGGAAGCCTGGTGGGATGCAAGGGATGGAGGTGGGTGACTTCCCAAGGAAAAGGATCATGCTGGGCCACAGAGCAGAGGAAGCAGGAGGAGGAAGGCGAGGATGCAGCTGGAACAGAGCACTGCGCACTCATCGGTACCCAGGCTGAGGGATGCTGAGGCCTCCCCTGTGCTCTGCATGCCGCAGCAGCAGCAGCTCCCACAATGGGACACGGGGAACGTGACACTGTGAAGAGTCCTGACAGCTCACTGAGACTGTGAGGGATATAAAACAAAGTGAGCATTGAGGGCTGGAGACGGCCCCATGCCAAGGAAGTGATGTGCAGCCTTCTCTGCTGGCAACAGCTCTCAGCTGTAACCTGTTGGGAAATGGAGGGAAGAAAGGAAGATGGGATAAAAACAGCTTGAAAATATCCCAGAGCAGCATGGTTATTTTGGGATTTTAATTTATAAAAAGAGGAAGAAAACCAGAAATGAAAGCCAAGACCCCGTGGCCAGCTTTGGTGCAGATGATGGGTTAGTGTCTGGCTGCAGGGCTGCAGCACTCCTTCCATTTGCTCTGATGCCTCCAGATTCAAGTGATGCGGATTGTGCCACCTCCATCACATCCTTTTGTCACCTGGCACAAGAGATAACTCTTCCTTGCCTCCAAGGAAGGCGCAAGAGCAGCAGCAACACATCTGAAGCAGCAGAATAGACTTGATAGGACAAGGGGTGATGGGCTTAAACTTAAACAGGGGAGATTTACATTAGATATAAGCTGTGGCGGCCCCATCCCTGGCAGTGCTCAAGGTCAGGTTGGACACAGGGGCTTGGAGCAAGCTGCTCCAGTGGAAGGGGTCCCTGTTCATGACAGGGGGCTGGAACTGGATGAGCTTTGAGGTCCATTCCAACCCAAACCAGTCTGGGATGCTATGATACAGTTGAGATCAGTAGATCAAGATCAGCATCAATACTGTATCAATAGAACAGTAAAGAGCCAGCGTGCAGCCCTGGGGACTAGTATACCTGGCTGGGGTTTCTACAGACCTGGTGGCCACTGTTCTTTCAGGGCTCCACCTGGATCCCTATCCCTTGCTAAGTGAAAGGATGTGAATGCCAGCATGGAGACCCACAGCCACTGCAGGGAGCAGTCATTAGGTGTTGTGTGTTGTGGGGGACATCCCCATTGATGGGGAAGCCTCATGTCCCCCCATTGCAGGGTGTGCAGCTCACCCTGCTCATACAGTGCTTCTCACCCAGCATCTCCCCAAGCCAACGCATCCCTCAGGCACTCACAGAGCCCTGGGAGCCAGCCCCATCATTAACACACACACAGAGGACCAGTGATGTGCCCAATGCCACCGAGTGACAAACTGCAGCAGGGGCACCCAGCACATGCAGCAAAGGGATAAGGAGCTCATTCCCCATGTGCCACAGCACGGCATTCCCAAAGCAGCACCCTTAGGGAACCCCACAGGGGTGTCCAATGGGGACCCTCAGGTCTCCACTGTAACGAAGTGCTCGCATCAAGCAAGGCTTCCATGTGCACACAGCAAAACCCGGTGTCCATTGGGTCTGTAACAGCCAGGGAAAACCAGGAGATGGCAACAGAGAGAAGATGAAGTTGCCAAGACCCCCCCCAACGCTTCTATCATCAGTGCTGCAGCCCCCAAGAGTGGGAATTACAGCGTCAGGATGAGACCTGAGCGCTGCTCCAAAATCCCACCTGGGATGCAGAGCAATAGGGATGAGGGCTGGATGGAGAACAGGGTCTGGCTTCAGTTTATGGATGAGGAAGAGAACCCCAGAAGGGTTAAAGGACTCCAGACACCCACTCAGGCTGGTGTAGTCACAGCAAGACTCAACACTTGACTCTGTGGAGCCAGAAGTCACTTGTGACTCATGGACATCGCAGAGCCAAAAGCAGCCTGGACCACTCTTGTGCTTAGCAACAGCCACCCCGCATCAATGCTGGATGGGGTCCTGGTCCAGCACCTTCCCACCCCGCAGCTCCTTCTTCCCAAAGCCCAAAGTCTGGTGGGATGCACGTCTTCTCCTACTCATTTTGAGAACAAAAGTGCAATTGAGATGAGTAACCCCAGCGCCTGACCTGCCTTTCAACCCCAGCAGGCTTTGATTTTCCCTTCCTCGTGCTGTGGCGTAACTGCAGCAGCTGTTAACAGCGAGGATGGGAAAAGCAGTTTATTTTACCCTAAATTAAATACAACAGAAGAGAAAGGCGAGCGGGAGGCTCTGTTCCAAGGTCAGGCACTTGACTAGGGAACGTTTCCCTGGATAGAAACCTACTCGGAGCAAGGGAATACACCCGAGCTCTGCAGAGACACAAAGCAGAGCAGGAAGCCGGAGCTCATGCGATGCCTGGGGAGCACAGGCCAGGCATGGAGCCATGGTAGGGACACAAAACAGAGCCATTGGAGCACCCAGGATGTGCCTTTGGCTTTCCTGTGTCAGGAAAAGTGGAGCTTCTGAGAAACCACGTGGGGCTTGGACAAGTGACCCCAGGCCAGAATGAGCTCCTGCCCAACAGGAGATGCTCAACCAACATGGAGCATGGGGTGGTTTGGGTTAAAGGGACCTTAAAGCTCATCCAGTTCCATGGGCAGGGACACCGTCCACTGGAGCAGCTTGCTCCAAGCCCCTGTGTCCAACCTGGCCTTGAGCACTGCCAGGGATGAGGCAGCCACAGCTTCTCTGCGAGCACCTCAGCATCCTCACAGTAAAGAGCCTCTTCCTTATATCCAACCTAAATCTCCCCTCTTTCCCAGAGCATTTCCCTATCCCTGGGGTCAGAAGAGCTCTCCGAGGCAAGCTATCCTCTGGGAAAACCCTGCTTGGAGATCCCAATCTGAAGAGGAGACCCTGGAAGTTGGCTTTGAGGAAGGACCAAACACAAGCTCAACCCTTGGGGTCCAGGCAGGGCCAAGGGTTCCTCTGCAAGTCCTCCTCCAAAGACTTTTGTCCTGGGATCAGCCCTTTAATGCAAGGAAAAATCACTCCATGGGTATAACTACCAGCAGGGATGTGGCTGGGTAAGGGATGCATGGAGTCCCTGCCAGGTCCCCTAATCAGGATTGGCTTGCAGGGATGCATGCCAGTGAAGTGACAAGGAGTGGGTATTGCTCCCCTGCACCCCCCCAGTCAGAGCTCATGCACCAAGGGATGAAGCCGGATCCTGATGGATCCCAGGACCCCGACAGCCCCGTGTTTTCCTTGCCCTCACACCAATGCCCCTGATAAGCCTGGCAGCATGATCCAGGTTGTGCTGCCTCCTTCCCAAGGAAACAAGCCAAGGGTTCCCACGCCACCTTCCCGCTGCTCGGTGCACAAAGGCAACACAGACTTCCTGAAATCCCTCTCTCCATGACCTTCCCCACTGTTTCCCTGCATCCTGCTCCAAGGCCACCCTCTGTACTCAGATAACAAGGCACTTGCTGCCAAAACCAGCAGCCACAGGGGCCCGGGATCCACACAAATCCACATTCAAACAAAGAGCTCGTCTCAATGGTCCCAAACTGGAGATGAACCCTGTGGCTCAGGCTTACCTAATGCAGTGTGGGGTGTCTGGAAGAGCTCAGGGCCTGGGTACCAGAGGCATCCAGGCTTCCCATCCCCGGTGGGATGCAGTCCCCAAAGTGACAAGAAGAGGGGCAGGAG